TTAACATTAAAACAGCATAATTCTATATAAGGATTTTTGTTTGTTTTTTCCGTATATATTTTTCTTCATACTGTCGGATCTATATCCATATATTTATTTATATATATATTATATATATATATATATATATATATATATATATATATATATATATATATATATATATATGTTAGAGGTAATAGATCCGTTGGTATATAATCCAGGTGGATCCTAGTAATGTCAAATATTAAAACAGATCTACAAACTGAACTCAATGTATTTATTATAACAGAGCATATATACTACACAGCAAAAAAAATTCAAAATTAGCTCATGTGGATTTCAACCAGTGAAATCTTGCGCCAGTCTTCTTCAACCCTGTACTGAATTCGTGTCGGAATCAAGGATTTAGAATTTAATTTAGATAGTAGTCGAGAAAAAGATATCGCTTCTACCCAAATTATGCCCCAGCCAGATAAAGGCCCGCTGGAATTAACCCCGATATTAACCTTATGATCCTAAATTTGGGTTATATGAAGAGTGAGGTGTTGAACTGAAACTAAAAGAAGGGCCGAAACGGGAGTTTACTTATGACCAAAACCTTTAAATTATATATAAAAGAATTTAGGTTCCCGCTTGGGAATATCAAATTATACTAACAGCAAATATATATTAATACGATTAACAATAAGTCGTATTTAGACAATTAATATAAAGAAAGAATAGATTTAAGGGTTTTATATTATTAAGGAATGGGAGATTTAAAGATAAAACAATTTAAATTTAGAATAAATTATCCATTTATAACTTTAAGGATAGGTTAAGTAAAACGTAACTATACTTGAAATTCTTTAAAAATTAAAAATATAAAAAAAGTTAATCAAAGTGGGGGGGGTGCATCAATTATGGAACTGTTATAAGATAGGATTAATATGGAGCATAGTGGGAAATTGTAGAAGTTAATTATCGTTATATATTCAACATTAGGGTTTTTTAATGTTAACAAGTAATAAGGTAAGTTCTATGTTCTTATATAAGTTTAAACCTGTTTCTATGTCTACATTTTAACACTAGTTCGTTCCTTTGATTTAACAGTTTTCATTATACTATTTTATTATTCTAATTTTTTCCTCTAAACAAACTGCACCTATCTCTACGACTAATTGGAGTATGAGCAAAATTTCATTGCCTTTTTTCAAATTTAAATCAAAGAGAAAAAAAAATCAGTGAGGGGTTGATGTTAACCCCCACCCCGGGGGGACACCTTTTGATCAAAGTGAAATATACTTATCCAAGTAGACTTGCTCAAATATAAATTTAATTTATATCAACGGAAAACAAATTTTCAGTGGGGATGAAATATACTTATCCCAGTACTGTAGGTAATGCAGTTTCAGAATGTCAATGTTAATGGGGGTCAATCTCTAAAACACTAGTAGGAGTTCGACAGAAGCTACAACTTTATATATAGATATATATTTCTAAAGTATATATACTAAAGCGTAAATTATTCAATAAAATCGCTTCAACCACGGCCTCCAGGTGACTTCGGAATCTCCTGCAACTCTTGTGGACGGATATATATATATTATTCGAGGTTTGAACAGGAGGTCCTACGTGGCCGAGTTAGTCTAAGGCATATCGGATTTAATGATGGTTTCCCCTACGGGACGCAGGTTCGAACTATGCCGTAGGACGCGTATTTCCTAACAAGATTTCTCAAATATACGGGCTGGAAAGATATAAAGAAACTGTTTAGTAAATTAATAAAAACAATAAATACTAGTATTTATTTCAGATATAAGGCTTAAACAAATAAATCAAATTACCTGTTGGATTTACTCCAAGTCATGTTCTCTTTGATATATATATATATATATATATATATAAGTGCACAGGTATGAAGAATATAGAAAAGATAACGTTGGGAGCATAATCTGGATTTCGTTAGTATTTTTGTTTTTATATTTAAGAATACATTGCTCCATACAGAAGTAGAGCTTATATTATAATATTTTTTTTTGTTTAAAAATATGATTCCTTCCCTACATAAGAAACATGAGAACTCTTATGTAGCGAAGGAATCATATTTTTAAACAAAAAATATATATATATATATATATATATATATATATATATAAAGAAAGAACAGTAAGTTGGGACCACGGAAGGAAAACACGGAACACGGGTTAGAGGTCAGAAAGATATATTAAACAAAAAGGTTACAAAGATAGTGTAAGTGTAAGCGGAGCTTAATATGTGCTAGTGTCCAATATTGGTAGTCGTACGCGGCTGATACTACGGTATTAGAATACTCTCTCTCCTCCTCTTCTTCTCTCTAGAGTGTTATGTCGCATACTTTATATAGTCCTGGAAGAGTCCATGTTGTAGGTATGTTACGGTCTCACAATAGATATATAATCCGGTGTTCTTATAGATATTTTTACAAAATAGTGCTCAATGTAAATTTATAGAGATTAATATATATATATATATATAACTTTTATTAATGTAACAGGTTTGGCTGTTATTAAAGCTTCATCAAATAATGAGATATCTTTTCGTTCATTATCTATCTACCTATCTTAATCTTTTCATATCTATCTATCTATCTATCTATCTATCTATCTATCTATCTATCTATCTCAGTCAGTCTGTTAATATCTATCTATCTATCTATCTATCTATCTATCTATCTATCTAGTCTAGTCTAGTCTAGTGTAGAGCGGAGAATATACACACACACACAATCAGACATAAGCAGACATACAGCTGTACTATTATTATGAACTAAATGGATTATTGATGTGGAAGAAATAAGAATGAAAGGAGTGGCGAGTAGGAAGATAGCGGAGAAAATAAATACATTGAAAGAGAGTGAAAGAGAGAAATAGAGAGAGTGAGAGAGATGAGAAGAGAAAAGAAGAGAAGAGAAGAGACGAGGAGAGAAGAGAAGAGAAGAGAAGAGGAGAGAAGAGAAGAGAAGAGAAGAGGAGAGAAAAGGAGAGAAAAGAAGAGAAGAGAAAAGAAGAGGGGAGAAGAGAAAAGAAGAGAAGA